CAGTGCCGAGCACAAGGGGACAATCCCTGCCCTGGTCCTGCTGGCCACACTTCCTGATGCAGGCCAGGACGCCACTGGCCTTCTTGGGCAAATGCCAGCTCATATCCAGCTGCTGTCCACCAACCCCCCCAGGTCCTTTTCCACTGGGCAGCTTTCCAGCCCCTCGTCCCCAAACCTGTAGCGTTGCAGGGGGCTGTTGTGAGCCGGCACAAGATCCCCAAATTCCCCTTTCCGCATCATCCACCACAGACCGCGAGCGAACCCCTGGTCCCCGTGGCCTCCGTACCCTCATCTTGGCACAGGCGTCCTGCGTGGACTCCGTCCCGCGGAGGTCTTTGATCAACATGGAGCCCAAGTACTGTTTGGAAGGGGGAGAGACGTTGAAGGCCTCAGGCAGGAAACCTGCCAAGCCCAGGGCAGAGCCACAGCCCCGCGAGCGGCAGCAGCCGTGCTGGAGAGGGACAGGTCACCCGGGGACAGAGAGGAAGCGTGGCAACGCCAACACGCCGCAGCCTGACCCCAGAGCCTCCTCATCCTCGCCAGCCCCACAAGCCAAAAGCCACTTACGTTGGCCTCATACCCGCAGGACTCGAAAATGAGCTTCTCCGGCTGGTGCTGCCAGTTTTGGACCGGGGCGTAGGGGGCAGCCAGGCTGGGGGGGCGCAGGGTCAGCTTTGACTCCCGACGATCCTCCTGGAAGGGAAGAAACAGGGATGTGAAGCCACAACAGGTCCAACCTGGGTGGAAACAGATCTTGGGCAGGCTCTTTGGGTTGATGCCACTGAGGTTCCCCAGGGCCAAATCCCACAGGGGTGAAGGTGCCAGTGCCGATGGAAGTGCGGGTCACCCCCTTTCAAGGTGACACCGAGGCATAAACGAGCTGCTGGCTCTAGCGCTGAGGGAAGCTGTGCCTGACTGGCTCCCCGGCTCTCCATGCATCCTCCCAACTCCTCACTGGCTCCAGAGAAGGGGGAGTCTGCGCTGAACGGAGCAGAGGGGGCCCCAGGACACACAAACCCCCCCACTGACCTGTGCTTTGTAGCGCTCGGCTCTGGAGTAGGGAGCAACCTCGGTGCCGCGGTCGTGTTGCCTCTTCCCGGTGTCCCCGGAGGGCAGCAGGAGATCGGCGGATCTGCCCGTGCAGGAGTCGTTCTGGCTCAGGGGTGAGGATGTCTGGGACATCAAGTCTTGGCACTGAAAGAGGCAGACACCCCGCACCGCCCCGGTCAGCCGGTGCTGCGGGCATGCCCACCCCTCGCTCCCCTTCAGCGTCCCAAGCCAAGGGCACAACGAGCAGCGCTAACGGGGCCGGCTCCGGCCTCAACGCCAGCATCACACCGTTTGTTATCCGCACGGTACCCCTGATGTGCTCCAGGGTGGTTTAGGGCAGGGCTGCAGCCCTCTCTGCCAGACACTCCTCCTGTGAGCTCATCCCGGAGCGCGGGAGACCCACCGAGCAGGGTGTTTGCAGAGGGACCGGCCCCACTAAAGCACTAAGCAAAGCCCTCAAAGCCGGGGAGAAGCCCCGGGGGCCCAGCGAGGGATCAGCCCAGATGCCTGACAGCCTGGCTCTTCGCGCAGGCCAGACTCGCTGCCGGTACGTGCCAAGCAGCCCGGCAGACAGTGCGGGGAGCTCGCAGCTGCACCACGCATTAGGCCTATTCAACGGAGTCGCTTAATTTGCCATTGATGTCCTTCCGCTCCCCACGCCGGAGCCAGGCGCTGGATCGCACCAGCTGTAGCACCAGGAAATGCTGCAAATGGCCCATTCTCTTACACAGCCTCCCCGTCCGGCTTCTCAATCAGCTGATGCTGCACCAAAGGACTCCTCTCCCCCAGCAACAGCCCTGCCTCCGCTCTCCTCGGTCTCAAGAGGATGGCTCAGAGGAGCGCAGATCATAGACTCATGGAATGGTTTGGGTGGGAAGGGGCCTTAAAGCCCACCCAGCCCCACCCCCTGCCATGGGCAACCTTCCACTCCATAGACCAGGTTGCTCCAAGCCTCATCCAGCCTGGCCTTGGACACT